ATGCTACCGATTGGTCCGGTGGTGAGAAGTTTTGTCTTCTTGACATTGAGCCTCAGTCCATAGTGAAGGCTGCAGTCCTTGACCCTCTGCAGAAAGTTAAGAAAGACTACTTCTCCAAAATTTTCATAAATATTTGCAGACTACCCATCTTATTTACCTGGGGAGAGATGACTTTTGTGCCTAATGACCTTCCTGAGGAGGTGAAGCACATCTAGCATCTCATTATGTGGGGAGATGTCTTCTTAGGCTACATTCTCTAGAGAAGCAAAGCCAGTGAAGCTTGCACTTAAGTATTTATCTGTAAAGAGAGTTACCTGAAGGAAATACCTCACTTGCTGGTAGAGACTGGCAAGTCCCAGGTCTGTGGGTCAGATCTCAAGAGAGAGGCTTTTCCTGAGTCATCTAACTGTGGAAGCTGACAAGTCCAGGATCAGCAGGCCACTGAGTCAGGAGCCAAAGCAGTGACAATGGGTCCAGACTGAGAAGAAAGCAAGGACACTCTGCCAAACTGCCTCATATATCCAATGCTGGTCAGTCCTGATGAAACTTCTCTTTACCCCATTAACTGCTCATGGCAGATCCTGTCAAGGATTACACTGCATCAGGCCATCAAGAGAATGACCACACCATAACTGCCAAGCCTGAGAGTGGTAGGCAGTCACGTTGGCACATAATCTTCATTGTCATGGGTACATGTGCATGAGTTGGCAGCCATCAAGACTGAGGGCACCACCCATTCCTGGCTAAAGAGGTCCTCATCTTTGTCATGGCTGAGTCTTCCTCAGCTTTCTGCTCTGTGATCCTAATGAGATCTTGCGCTCGGTCAGTCAAGTTAGAGAAGTGATGAACAATAGAGAAAAGAATATTCACAGATTGGCAGCATTTTTTTTAAAAGTAAATTTGACTTTTGATCAAGAGTAGATTTCATGCTCTGCAAACCACAACTATGTATTGTTGGGAGAGATAATTTGTTTTTTAATATAAATCCTGCAAAAAGAATATGACTGTTGTTGTTAGGTGCCACTGAGTATGACTCATAGCGACCCTGTGAACAAAAGATCTGAAACCAGTCCTGTCCTGTGCCATCCTCACACTTCCTAACACACAAAAGCCCATTGCAGCCGTCACCTTATCAGTGCACCCGGTTGAGGGTCTTCCTCTCCTTTGCTGACCCTCCACACTTCCCAGCATCATGTCCCTCTCCAGGGAATAGCACTTCTAGAATTATGTCCAAAGTATGTTAGGCAAAGCCTCATCATTCTTGCCTCCAAAGAACACTCTGGCTGCACCCTCTCCAAGACATATTTATTTGTTTTCTTGGCCATCCATGGGATGTTCAGTGCTCTTCTCCAACACCACAACTCAAAGACATCAATTTTTCCCCCCCTGTCATCTTTACTCATTGTCCAGGTTTTGGATGCATAGTACCATCGAGGTCTTGAAAAGAGGATACTGGTGTGGAGGGGCGAGGGGCTGTTTATTTAATTTGAGACTGCTGAAAATATGTTCCCTTTGTCCTAATATTCATCATTGTTTTTATAAACAGTTTCATTCCCTGGCTCCCATGTACTATCGTGGATCTGCTGCAGCTGTCATTGTATATGATATAACCAAACAGGTAAGAAGAGTGCCCCTTCAGTGTTAAGATGCCTTTCTTGACAATTCTGTGTTAGAAAGAACAAAACCAGAAACTTCAGTAATTCGAATGAAGTGGTTGGGGAGAGTGAACACTATGTATTGCATTTATTTCCACCTATTTTGTATGAAGCATCTCAGAATTATAAATTAATATAAATATACAATAGTGACCATTTTTTCTAAAATTGTCTATTTGTAAAGGCAAGATCAATTGATATTATTCTAAGAATGACCATGTTTTAAGACATTTTTTAAAGTTTTGCGTGTTTTATAATGATAAAATGTTTATTATTCCATTCTCTGACATTAGGCCACCAGAACTTCCTCTATTTAAAATGCCAAGGATAATACTGTGTGTATTATATGATGTCTGTGTGTCTGTGTATGCATTATTTTAATCTATTCCTAGGTTATTGCATTGTGCCCTAGGATGGCCATCAACAAATAATTGCAGTGCTTTGCTGACATTTTTTCCATCTATATCGGCAAATTTAATTAACTTTTTGCTTGATAATGCTGACTACCATTATTTTTACAGACTCAGCATTATAACATTCATGAATTCCTGACCACTTCTACCTACATGTAGTGTGTGAGTGAAAGGAAAGAAAACAAGCTTAAAGTGTGTGTGTGTGTGTGTGTTATTTTTTTCTTTCTTAAAAACAGAAATGTTCTCTTAGTCTTGTGTTATCTTTATTCCCATTAAATCAAGGATATAATTTAAAATTAGCATTCCTTTTTTTCATTTCATTAGTTTATTTACAAAATTCTAATGCAAATTCGAACAAATTCTTTCAATTTCCCTCACACCCTCACCCATCAAATTGTACAACCCAGTGATTAATCACCTCTTCCCTCTGTACATCCACATCCCTCTGCTTCCAGCTCAGGTTTTCATTTTAGAAAAGGAACCTTCCATAGTTATATAAGTATTGCTTAGGAATTGGGTGTGTTGTTTCCAAGTACTCAGCTGCTAACTGAAATATTGACAGTTCAAATACACCAGCTGCTTTGCAGGAAAAGGTGGTGGCTGTTTGCTCTCATAAGGATTTATGGCCTAGGACTTTGTGGGGCAGATTTGCTTCCCGCTATAGGGTCCCTGTGAGTCAGAATCAGCTGTATGGCAGTCAGTAGCTTCAGATGACTAAACTATTGTTAAATTTTGTTCCAAGATAGTGGTGATATGTTACTTTAAAGAAATGTCCTGAAAACATACTGGTTTTGTGTTCTTCCAGTCATTTATTTCTACTTTTAATTTAGGATTCATTTCATACCCTGAAAAAATGGGTTAAGGAACTGAAAGAACATGGTCCAGAAAACATTGTAATGGCTATTGCTGGAAACAAATGTGATCTTTCAGATATTAGGTAAGGAAATTTGAAAATGTTTCACTATCCTTCATCTCTGAAGTCTATATATTTAAAGAAGTATTGTGGTTACGTTTCTAAGTCCACTTTTATTTGTAATAATTTAATAAAAAACTCACTTGTGCTGATCAACATGACATTTATTTAACCAAAGTTAAATCAAGAGAATATGATATGAAAATGCAAATTACCTATCTGTTAAATAATTAATATTAAAATCAAATAATAACATAGTTATGGGCTAGATTGCTTTGTTTTTATTGTTACCTTTTCCATAATTATTATCAGATTACCATTGCCACTATTTTAATAACACTTTCACCTGGTAAGGAACTCTGGTGGTGCAGTGGACTTAGTATTTGACCACTAGGTCAAGGATTCTCTCCACTGGGCCAATTTGCAGCACCATGATATATGGCGAAGAGATTGAGATTGTTAACAATTTCAGTGTGCTAGGTTCTACAATCAACAGTTTTGGCATCAACAGTGAGGAAATCAAAAGAATAATTGCATTAGGAAAATTTACTTTCTGGGACTTCTCCAGAGTGTCAAAGAGCATCAGTGTCAGTCTAGAGACTAAGGTGCACCTGATCCAGACAATTGCCTTCGCAATTTTTGGCTATGCATCGGAGAGATGGACAATGACTAAAGATGACAGAAGAAAAATTAATGCCTATGAGTTGTGGTGCTGGAGGAGATTACCAAACATAACCATGGGTTGCCAAGAGAATAAAGAGTTCTGTCCTGGAGAGGGTGAAATGAAACTACTTCTTGGAGGCAAGGATTATCAAGATCTATCTATCTCACATACTTTGGGCACATGGCCAGGAGGGACCTGTTCTTGGAGAAGGACATCATGCTTGGAAGGGTAGAGGTATAACATAGGAGAAGAATATCCTGAATGAGATGGATTGATACAGTAACTGGGGTAATGGGGTTATGTGTATTGGAGTCACTGATAGGTCAGCGTTCAGAGCTGTAGTGTATAAGGTCACTTTGAGTTGCAGATTACTCGATAACACATAACAACAAGAAGAAGAAGCCAAGAAGTCACTGGCTCAAATCCACCAGCAACTCCTCTGGAGGACAATGACACAATCTGTTATAAAGATTTCAGCCTGGCAAATGGGGCAGTTGTGCTTTGTCTTAAAGGATTGGGTCAAAGCCTATTTACTCAAAGCCAGTGGTTTGGGTTTGATTTCCTATGTAAAGCAATTTATAATTTTTAACATTTCCCCAAAGATTCCTCTTAGTTTTTTTAAAAATTTTATTATTTTATGTGTGTGTGCTGTCAAATCAGATCTGACTGTTACAGGAGGAGATTGCCCCTCCTTCTCCAGCAGAGCATCTGGTGGATTCGAACTGCACACCTCTGGGATTACTTCTTGCACCACCAGGGCTCCCTAGGGCTCCCTAGATCCCTCTTAGTTTTAATATATTCTCTCTCTCTCTGTGGAGAGAGAGAGAGAGAGAGAAAGAAGTGAGGTGAGTGAGGAGAGAGAAATAGATCGATCTAAAGGAAATGACTTATCCACTTGTAGAAGCTGTAAACTCCTAAGTGTGTGGATCAGATCTCAGGAGGACTTTTCCTGAGGCATATAGCTATGGAGGCTGACAAATTCATGGCCAGTAGGGCTAGCCAGCCACTGGTTCAAGTCCAAGAACTGGAGGGAACAAGCCATATGCAGGATCTAGATGGAGCAAAAAGCAATTAGGCTTCCCCAGACTTCCATATTTGATCCAAAGCCATACCACTGAGGAAACTTCCTTTAAAGATTGGATGAGCTTATCACAGAACTGAGCATTGTATCAGATCTAATCAAGGGGATGATTATTCATAATTGCCAAACCAGAGAGTCATAGCAGCCAACTTAACACACAATCTGAAACATCACATTGGGAAAAAGTTTGCAGGGAGCCAGTCCATGTGGATAGGAAATTTGGTGATAATTTATGTAGGATAAGCTAGCTCTTCTAGAAAACATACTTTATGAAAAAGTAATAATAATACTGTGTTATCTCCATCCCCCTGGTTAATTTCATTCTTAGACATTTTAAGAGTTGATTTTCATGACAGCTACATCATGATTTCGATTTTATTCATCTAAATATGATTAAACCAAAATTAAGTAAAGGATGAAAATAGAACTTGTTAAAATTCTCCACTTGTTATTTGACAATTGCTGTTTCTTTGGGATTTCAAAAGCTTGACATAATACTATTATAATGTCATTACTTGTTGTTGTTGTTATGTGCCATCGAGTCGCTTGTGACTCATAGCGACCCTATGTACAAGAGCTCTAAATGTTGTTCTATCCTGTGCCAACCTAGCCATCTCAAACGCACTTATTCCAACCGCTCCAGTCACTGAATCGATCCATCTCTTCGAAGGTCTTCCTCTCCTTTGCTGCCCCTCCACTCTGCCAAACATATTATCTCTATCCTCCTACCCCAACATCAGGATCACATCCAGTGGTAATAGCATGTGGCACTATCCTTGAGTCCAACTGTTCTGGATAATATCCATTCTCCAATAGTTTGGCCCCAGGGTCTTAGAGATGTGGTTTAAATATAGAAATATACCTCTCTCTTTTGTTAACTTAATTTTTCTTCTGAATGGCATTTTTTCTTTTTTTAAAAAAAATATTATTAATTTCAATAAAAATTTACAGAGACTTCGGATTTCCATTCATTCATTGTTGCACTTTTCTCTCCTCCCAACCCTCCCCACCCCCACACACTACAATACCCTCTTGCAAAAGTAAAAGAAAAATTATTTCATTATTTTACAATCCCTCCCCCCAGGTCCACTCCACTATGCAGCCTTCGCTCTGGACTCCTCTCATGACAAAAATACCTAATCACATATCCCTTTTAAACAGTTTTCTCCCTCATCTGTTTCAATGCAGTATACATTATTGAACCCATCTTTCTCAGTCTCCCCCCAACTCCGAGGTCAGTCCTGTTTTACAACAGTGGCACCATGCAGTATTTGTCCTTTTGTGACTGAGATACTTCACTCAGCATAATGTCCTCCAGGCTCACCCATTTTGAATAATATTGCATGAGTTCCTTGTTTTTCAATGCAGTGTAGTATCCCATTGTGTGGATATACCACAGCTTCTCTATACATTCGTTTGTTGATGGGCGCTTAGGTTGTTTCCAACTCCTTGCTATTGTGAACAAAGCCATGATAAACATGGGTGTGCATATATCTGCTTGGGTGTCAGGAAATATACCTCCTTTTACACATAAAATTCTTTTAGGTATTGCTTGTTTACATAGTGAGAAAAGACAAATCTCCCTCAGATATCTGGTTAGGCCGTGACAAAGACTATTTCATGGTAGGATTTTTTTCCTTTTCATCTCATGTACAGTAAAATCTGTAAATAACTGCAACCTGTGTAAGGCAGAAACCTTTTTGAGAAGGAAAACACAAATTCTTTTGCACTAAATAGAGTGGTAGACAAGGGGGACAGTGCGCTGTCAAAGGCATGCTCTAGAGACAAGGAAAGCTGGAGAGTCTTGTAAAGTTGCAGCTCACACAGCAATGGACTTACGTGTGTCAGGGATATTAAAGATGGCACAAGACCTGGCAGGTTTCACATCTGTTGTTCATAGCACTGTGTGAGTCTTTCTCAACTCCATAGGACTTAAGAACAATAACAACAACAATTTCACTATATTGGCAAAATACTTTGCCTGTATGGATCATAACAAATTATGGATAACATTGAGAAGAGCAGAAATCCCAGAACACGTCATTGTGATCATGTAAAATGTATGCATAGATCAAGAAGCTATAGTCCAGGTAGAGAAGGGAGTATTGGTTTAAAAGCAGGAAAGATATGCATCAGGATTATATACCCTTTCTTCCTATCCATACAGTCTACATTCTGAGCACATCATTCAAGAAGTTTATGGCATCAGGATTGGAGAAAGACTCATCAACAACCTACATTATGCAGATGATACAACCTAACTTGCATAAAGTAAAGACGACTGGAAGCACTTGCTGCAGAAGATGAAAGACTACAGCCTTCAATCTGAATTAAATTGCCACATAAAACAGAAATCCTCCCCACTGGACCACTAGGCCAAATCATGACAGACGGAAAAGGTTAAAGTTGTCAACAATTTCCTTTTACTTGGAGCCACAGTCAACACCTATCAGCAGTCAAGTTATCAAAAGATGTGTTTTGCTGGGGAAATCTGCTGTCATGGGCCTCTTCAAAGTAGAAAAAAAAACCACAGATTGGTTGCACTCCTGACTGAAAGGTGGTGCCTATCTGTTTGAAATCCACTAGCATCTCCTTAGAAACATAAGCAATGTCCTGTCTTGTTATTTACCTCAGAAATACAACAGAGAATCAGCCATGAGTTGGTCCTGCCTCCACTACAGTGAGATAGAATGACCAATGATACTAATCATCTTAACATTTGTGCTTTGACCATGTATGTATCTTCTGGTGAGAAACTGATCTTCAAGTCTTTTTCCATTTTAAAATTGGGTTATTGACCTATATATTGGGGTTTTTTTAGTAGTAAAAGTTATTTATATGCCATAGGAAAGAGTTTCTTACCAGGTGTTTAACTTGCACATATTTTATCCTATTTTATGGGTTGTCTTTTCACTTTTTTGATGAACATTTATCATGTTCCATTTATCAAGTTGTGCCTTTAATCTCTTGTGTTCAAGCAATTTGTTACTCAGGATCATAAATGTTTACTTCTGTGTTTCCTCTTGAGAGTTTCAGAGTTTTAGAGCTGTGATCAATTTTTGTTTATAGTAAAAAGCGAAGCCCAGATCCATCTTTTTGTAAGTGGCTACCTAATTGTCCCAGCATCATTTGTTTAAAAAGACCTGCACCTCTCCCATCCCTGTTGAATTTTCTTGGCATCTTTGTTGAAAATCATTGACCAAAAGTGTAAAGTCTTACTTGAGAGCTCTTAATTCTGTTTGATTGCTCTGCCCTCAAGTCAGTACCACACTGTTTTGG